AAACAGCAGAAAATAATAAGTTCAAAATTCGACCTAGAAAACACAAAATCTGAATCTCACACAACCCCATTCCCTTTGGAGTGAATGCTTTCAAGAACCTGGGAAGTAAATCATTTTAAAAGGGTGTTGTAGGATTTAATGGCATTATCTTGTCAGTATAAATATTTTATGCACACAGGGAAATGAATATTTTTCTTCATAAATTAACTGTGTGCAATATTAATAATTAAAAAAGAAACCTGTTTTTGAATTTATGGAAGGTTGCACTTATTAACCCTTACTGTCTCGTATTATCCGGGCATTCTCTATAGTTAATGGTCTATTGTGAGCTTCTTCTGTCACAGGGTATCTAAGACCGCTTCTCCAGAATGGGCCCAACAACCGATGGAGAAGAGGATCCCAATGTATCTCTGTTATAGTTTTCATATTCTTTCTGTGCAGTAGGATGTAGATCTTATTCTTCTGGAAAAAAGGGTTGATGCAATTGTGTCTTTTTCTATACAGCCGCATTGTAAAAGTTTCCCAACAATATCCAATAACTTTATCAAGACTTTTTAATAAAATGCGGAAAGCGTATATGTTGGATTATAGACTGACTTATTTGCTCTATATGGTTTTTATTGGTCTATCTCTGGTTCATTTGGATATTCTTATTGAGGTTCTTACAGTCCCAAAGGGTGAATAAAAGTGGATTTGTTTTATAGCAGGAGATCCTTATTATATTACCGTGAAATGCGTTGGACTGTCCTTTGGTAGAAAATCAGTAGAGTGAGAACCACAGTATAGCTTTTTGTATACTGCTGAGTGCATATTGATAGTTGGAGGACATATTAATAGTCGTGCCTCGTGAAACAAATCAGACAAACCAAAAGATGAAAAAATGGGCCAATAAGTATTTATTATCATAAACATTATGTATGCATTTTACAGTGCACTGATAAGAGCATTTTCCCGTCATTTGGTTCACAGATCAAGTGAGAAAGCGTAACTAATGGAAAGAAAAACAGGAGGAATAGTAAAAAAATTATACTGTCCTCTAGCCATCAATAATCTTTTCTTTGTCGGGGGGAGTGGGGCGCCACTGGCAGAACTCAGAATCACAAATCAAAACAAACATGCTAGCTAGATCACTGCACATTTTGGTTGGTTCACGATTTGGCAATGTCTCAGAGCCCAGAAATTAAACCGATCACCAAATCAGCCTAAATTTGGGCTAATTTCAATTCAAACCGAAACAAACCTCCAAGTCTAGGGACCAGCAGCTGCACATTTTTAAAATGACAATGTAACATGTCGACCTTATTTTCAGGTCTCAGCTGCAGAGAAAACAACACTGTTAAATGCAGTTGATCTGTCTAACTGCTTGGTATACTGGTAGTATCAAAGAGAACAGTCTTGTACACTTTTCTATTGTGTTTTATGAAGAAATGCCTGTTTTGCTGACTCTCACTAAGCACAACCCACAACAAGCCATTTCGGGGTTGTTAAAGAGACACCCTTGATAAGAATCCTGTTATATTAGGTTATGATCAAAGTGGCTCTGTCACCTTCCAGGGTATTTACATCATTAGCAAAGACTCCTGAAGGTGACATGCCTGCTTGTGGGGTGTGGTGGCTCAGTGGCGCAGTGGATGGTAGATATGCTTAATTGATGCTGTCACCTCCACAGATGTCACTTCAATTGCAGGTACGTTAAAGGTGAGTAAATATTTTTAGTTTATTGTTTTGTATAATTTAATACAATATCTCTATAATGCAGTAAATAGAGTGTTTCAGGTCCAGCTGCTGTTTCCTTAAGGCAAACCTTGGGCCAGGATTGGGCTATAGATCATGCTGTTCACTTTTTGTGATTAGAACCTCTTTGTTCTGGATGTCCTCTTCCTTCTCCTGCAGAAAGATGGTGGTTTCTGAGCTTCTGAAAAAACAATATCCACCAGTATCTACAGGCACGTAAAACTGTAGCTGTGAGAAGAATGAAGGCAAATAATAGGAGGAATGCTTACACTATTTCATCATCAGTCAGTAAGGGAGTTTCATCACTTACATATAGATATAAGTAACAATATATTCAGCTTTTGACCATAGCACCCTTAATAGAAGGCAAGGTAAGGAGAGAAAGGGCATCTGGTGTAGGGACACTTGGAACATGGCTGAAGGAGGATGAAAATCAGGTAGATGGAGGGACACAGAGAGATTGGCTAGTGTAGGATGAATAATACCGTGAGTGAAGGTCCCACTAGTGGTTGTCTCATTGGAGGGAAGGGTAATAAATAGTGACAGTGTAGGCATTGTAGGCAAAACCTTATCTTACCTTATTTAGGCCATTGCAGCTTGTCAGATCCTCTGTCTCTTAATTCCCTCTGCACGTTTCCTGTCCACCCATCCCCTTTGTGTTACAGAACTGAGTTTCTCACCTCTCCTTCGTGGGAGTGGTCTTCGTTGGTCACAGCAGAGCCTGTTTAGTGGAACCAGCCCTTTGAGCCCCAGCCTTGTAATTTAGTGGCTCTTGTGCTTGTTGTCGGTTGTGCGGTCTGGCGGCACGACAGTTCTGCTGGCCAGGAGCGTATCCCAATTTGTTCTCCTGCAAGCGGGGGCAGCTCTAGAGTGAGATGCAGAGATGGAGGATGGGAGTGCAGGCAGATGTGTGGTTGGGATGTGTGGTGTCAACTTAGGTGATGGCCTGCTGGGGTGTCTTTCCAAAGCATCTCGGTGAAGTGCTGATGCTGAAGATCTCCCCTGAAGTCCATTATGCCTCTGTTTGAGCTTAATCAATGGGGGATCTGCTGTAGGTACAGGTGCGAACCGCATCCTCTTGTGGTCTAAGGCATGTATTTAGAGCTTCAGTGCCACCACCTTATTTGTTAGTTATTTATTGATATTGTCGGTTACAAATTTAAGATGCCTCTTTGTTATTAATAAAGCAACTGATGATAGATTTCATTCCAACCTGTTGTCTGTAGGTTATTGATTCTTTCATGGATGATTTGGGTGATGAGGCAGGGAGTTTTTATGTGTAGTGGGTGCTTGCCATGCATGTCTTTTAGCCTCCCAATCCTTCCCCTAGTGATGCCATGTATAGTGGATGCAGTGTGTCTGTAGTGGATGATGTGTGTAGTGGATGCAGAGTGTGTGAGTATGTGTGTGGGGTAGGATATGGGCTGCATTCTGTGGGAAGAAGGTTTTTTTTTGTTTTTGTTTTTTAATTTTTTTTTTATCAGTAATTTATTTTATCCTCCCCACCATACCTCTTACCTTATCTTAGAGAGGAGAGACATTCCTTCTGTCACACAAGCCCCACAATGCTTTGCCAGCTGAGGATTAACAATTTGCCAATTCTTACAAGGTTGTATTTAGCACTGAGCAGTGTTTGTGTGTTTGACGGCATGTTTTTGAATGGAGTATGTGTGTGTGTGTGTGTGAATGTTGGCGTTTAAATACAGGCGTGAATGTGTGTGTAGTGTTTAGCCAGCCGTTGTGTGAAGGGAAAATTATACGCAGCCAGAGAGAGGGTTGGTTCCTGCAAGGGGAGCTGTAAGGAGCGGCCATGGCCAATCGCAATTGAACTAAAAGCCACTGGGATACATGACATTATATCCTTGCGACCAAGTACTCTGGAGAGAGAACCACTGTGTAAGAGCCAGTGTGTGTGTAATAGCCAGTGTGTAAGAGCCAGAGTGTGAGTTTGTGTCAGGGTAAATGTGTGTGTAAGAGCCCAAGTGTGTGTGTGTTTTTAAGAGCCAGTGTGTCTCTGTGTGTGTGTGTGTGTGTGTGTGTGTGTGTTTTTGTGTCAGTATGTATGTGTCAGCCAGTGTGTGTCTATAACCCATTGTGTTTGAATATGCCTATTTATGAACCAGTGAGTGCACGTGTGTGTGTATAGCTTAGTGAATTGTCAGTAAGTGATAGTGTGTGTCAGACAGTGTTTAAATTACTATATATGGATTTCTTTTTTCCCATAAAAAAAATAATATATATATATATATATATATATATATATATATATATATATATATATATATATATATATATACATATACACACACACAACAGAGTAAGAACATATGAGAAGGGAGAGAGACACAAAGGGGGGTAAGGGACACAAATGAGCAAAATACACAAGATACATTAAAGGGGTGGGAGACCTTCAGAAGGGGAATAAAAGACACGGGATTAAGAGGCCACTAAATGTATGTTAAAGACTCAAAAGCATGAAAGGAATGACAAACAAGGGATACAATATACAAAAAGGGAAAAGAGAAACAAAAAGGTGGCAAGATGTACAAAAAGGACAAAAGAATGAGTAAGATGGGCAAAAGGTGTAGATTAATTTCGGGGGCGCATCTTCGCCTATGTAAATAACATTTTAGCAAGTCCACAAAAATGATATTAGCTGATATATCTACCCCGTTTAGATATTAAATCATTATACATTTGTAAAGCACTATGCATTTTCATATTTTTGTGATCTATTATACATGAGAAAATAAGTCAAACGTTATACTGACCAATAGTATCAAATATAGATTGGTCAGATCGAAAATTCTGCACAAAGTTTAATAGGAAAAATAGTCAGAATACTTTAGAATATATAAGGACAAATAATGTTTATTAACGAATAAACGTGCATCATAACAGATGAACAGATTGGGTCATACCAGGACAGTCAGACTACATCAGGGCAGAAAAGACATTTCAGGACCAATGAAAACATATCAGGACACTTCTCTTTCCGGCTGACCTATTTCAGTTCATTTCATTTTTCACGTACCAGAAGACAAAAATCTTGTGACTTCCGCAGGGAATAACAAGAAAGTACTTCTTGGGTTATGTTTGCATGAGCAGATGCACTCATCTCCTTATGTCAGGCACTCAGGTCGAGGGAGGCAATCTGGGTGTGAAGTTGCAAACATATTATAATATATTAACATAGTAACTACTGGCTCACATTGAGGCAAAAATAAGTACAAATACCAAAGTGCATTAACCATAAACTTAACTTTTTTTTTTTTTATCTAGATTGTATTTTGATCCTTAGATGTTGCATCTACAGCCAGAATAAATTCCATCCTTCTATACATGCTACATTTATTATGAGCTATACTAGCAATTTATCAAGAATCAGGTATGGATCAGCACAGGTGGTAAGTAAAGCAAAATCATCTTTAGAGTCTAAAAACAAAGCAAAGATCTAACTGTGAATAAGTTGCACAAAGTTATTGGACCACTCGCAGGATTAAATGTATATGATGGCTTTCTTTGTCAGCCCAATCACTGTGTTACCTAGGTTCAAAAAGAAGATGCTTTTACCAACAGAACCCAACTTGGTGAAGACCTTCCAACACAATACATGTCCTTGAAACTGTAATATATGACACAACTATTGTGGACACCAGGTGAGGGCTGAAACATAAAGAACAAAGTGTAGACAAATACATCCATCCCCTGAGTCCCCACGCTGGGGCTTCAAATATAGTAGTAAAGTGAAAAGGACATAGTAATATCCCCCGTCCCCCCCTGTACTTCCAAAGTAGGGCTCTAAATAAAATAATAAAGAGGAGGGTCGTAGACCTGTGGGGGTAACAGTAGGGGGGTACCAAATACAATGCTCTGACTGGCAAATCTCACTTAGCTTGAGACTTACATGAGAATTTTCCCACCACTTGCTAGTTCTGCTCCTGAAAATCCTTTCATGATAGGAATGATAAACGTGCTGATAAACATTATCAGCCTAATGGTAATCGAGGCCAAGTAAGTACAGTCTGGATTCCTATGATCATCATATCAACATTGGAATCCTGAGAGACACAAAGCTTTAACATTTAGAGTAGGTTAGACCAATAAACTACACTGATCAGTCACAACATTAAAACCATCTGCCTATTTTCATGTAGGTCCCTCTCAAGCTGCCAAAACAGCTCTGATGTGTTGAGACATAGACTCCACAACGCATCTGAACATGTCCTGTGGTTTCTGATACCAAGACATTAGCATCAGATGCTTTAAGTACTGCAAGTTGTAATTAGGGGCCTCATGGATCTGATTACTTGTTCCAGTACATCCCACAGATGATCAATCGGATTGAGATCTGGGTAATTTGGAGGCAAAGACAACAATGTCTGCAGTGTTTGAGGGTGCATTTCCCTGTTGAAAGAGGCTACTGTCATCAAAGAACACCATTGCCATGAAGGGGTGTAAGTGGTCTGCAACAATCTCTAGTTAGCTGTGCAGCCCCATGAGTAGCAAACTATGATACAATGTGTTCTGACATTTTTCTATGGTGACCTGGCATTCATTTTTTTCAGCAATTTTAACTACAGTAGTGATAAGACCAGACAGGCTAGCTTTCACTCTCCACATGCATCAATGAGCCTTAGGCACCCAAGACCCTGACTCCGGTTGTCCTTCCTTGCACCACTTTAGGTAGGTGCTAACTGTGACGGAGATCAGTGCTCAGGTTAAGTACCTCCATCTATAGTTTTCTTCATGCTGGAGAAAGTCTCTCTTCAATGATTATAACCTTCCCAAAATACTGGATGATACATAGTGCAGGGTACAAGAACACACTTTATTGTCACCAAATTGCTGTAAATATAGGGATAATAGCAACCGGGGTCACAAGCTAGAACAATGAGTTGCCCTGGCGTCTCTAGTTCTGGGAGATAGTTTCATTTTATTCAAACCCCAGACACCAGGGCACTGTAAAAATAAAATAAAAACACATCTGCATTTCAACACATGTTACATATACAAATTATACATCTCTGGGTTGATCTCTTTCCCCAGGCAAAGTGTCCAAAAAGCACCCGGATCGGATGTCCCTAGACGAAGAAATCATTGAATAAAGTTTGACCGGGCTGAGGTCACATCTCGATCCGGCGTGGAGGTCCAGGCTGCCACGGCTAATTGGCTGTCATTGAAATAGTCTGTTCTCCTTGTGGAAAAAGGGGGCTCCCTCTGGTTCTTAGACGGCGATTATCGGCTTATTTCTCCTCTAACTCCTTTCCAAAAAGCACTCTCCTGGGTATTAAAATGTGGAAGCAGGAACCTCTGGTAGTTTCAACGGACAGCCACACTGGACCAGATCAACTTAGAGTTCCATGAAATTGCCACCTGGTCCAGCTGGAAGTGTTGGAGCTGTCCCAGGCTCCTTTGACAGTTTTTTGCGGCCCGGAGATGGAGCGCTCAGCATGGTAAGTGCTTGGAGAGGGTAAAGGTTCTTTAGGAGAAGTTTTAATTTAGGAATCCTGAACCAGTTAATCTTCAGCCATGGTGGAGGATCTGCCACACAAGATTTATAATTTTGGAGATATTCTGACTCAGTCGTCTAGCCATCACTATTTGGCCCTTGTCACTCACTCATATCTTTTTTCCTGCATCCATGAACTGTCTAGTCACTTGTTAACTTATATTTCCTACCCTTTGATAGGTGCAATTGTAACATTGTAATTGATGTTATTTACATTAAGTGATACTAATTCCCTAATTTTCTGTTACCCACACACTCAGAACACGTCACAGTATTATTTCCCCCTTTTTGTTTGTATATACAGATACCATTTAAAAAGTCAAGTACATTTAATTGTTTTTGTTTTTTTCTGGTTTCTCATAAATATCTTGAGGTCCACTAACCACAATCCTCTGTTTCTGAATAATTTCTGTTATAGTGTTGACTAATGATAAATTCCTTCTTTCTCTATTTGTCTCTATATACCATAAAAACCAATACAACTTGATTCCCCATTGATATTTGTCAAGAAATATACAGCCGATGCCATTGAAAACTGGATGTATTTTATTCCATAGGAAACAGTTTATGGAGCGTTGTTGCTGTGTTTCTCCCTCAGTAATGTCCTTTATTTTGGCCTTTTGCTTCATGCATGACCTCTGTAACCTCTATGTATCATTTGCAATGGTATATAAATAAAGCTACAATGGTTTTCTTGTGAAGAAAAAAATATTTCAAATGTCAGTTACTGCTCAACAATCCATAAAATGTTTTCAGAAATCAGCGCAATTGTTTGTGTAACCAGCAGAAAAAAAAAATTATCCATTTTACCATCGTGATTCTGCACCTGCTCCTTATAGGAAAAGCAAATCCAACACAGCTAACACAAATGATTGTACAATGTGCTTCATTTTCCCCAACAAGACCTGCATGGCTGTGCCGTTCAACTGCAATTACAAGGCTCATTTAGCTCTTATTCAGAAATAGCTTATTTAAGTGACGTGTGTAGAGAAAAAAACACTTCAAGGTCTCTTGAATTGTGTAACCAGATGCAAAATTATGTTCTCAATAATTTTTAGATTTCTGGTTGACTTTCGTTATAAGTTACATTGAATTCAACTCAAGATACAGTATATCCATGAAATAAAATTTGCTGATGCCGCCCCAATGTCTACCATTCTACCATTGCGGATCGTATGGCTGAGAGTAATCTAAGGAGGTGTGGTGGTGTGTTGCATTACTGACTAATTTTTATTGGCATCGGGAACTGTGGTGAACTAGAGTAGCTTAGAAATCTACTCAGGGCTACAATACATTCTTAAACTTTGTATGTGGAAGTGGACAATTTAAGACCAGGAAATATCTTCAAAGTGAAGGAGATGATTTAACTATGTTCAAATGAGATAGCATTGTATATTCAAAGTAGCTTGATCTTGTCTTTGGGACTAGCTTGCCAAATAAATAGATACATATCCCCCCTCCCTGACAAAAGGTAAACCACAGGGAAGGAGGAGTAAACTTTATACTCTATACTCCTCACTACAGCCCATCCACATTCCACAGCCCCTATCCCCCACATTCTACAGTCCCTATCCACCAAGACAACAGCCCTTATCTCCTCACATTACATCCCTTCACCTCATATACTACAGCCTATGGACTTCAAGACAGAAATGAGGGTCTTAAAAAAGTCATGGCAGTGACCAAATATGACATAGGACTGGGCAGCGCTGACAAGGCATTTGCACTGGGTGGCACATTCTGGGAGACGTAAAAAAACTTGCCCCCTAAACGCCCCGGCAGATGCCTTGTCTGCCTGACATCTGCTCAAGAATAAGGTGAGCTGCAGGAGAGCGCTCTCTTCTGAGATCTTCCTGCCCAGCTCCCTCATGTGCCCCACAGTGATCCCGGAGCCGTGATATGATGTCACTCCGCCTCTGGCATCACTAAGAGGTGCACGAGCAGTGGTGTATTTTAGATTTGTGCTGCCCTAGGCATGACTAAATTCGGGCACCCTCAAAATCTAAATTTGACCCCCCAATTTGTGTCAAGGCCACTTTTTTGACTGACAGACACATGCCCTCATTGATACATGCACTGTTATAAACTCACTGACAGATACACAGTCACACACATACAGTCATAAGCCCACACTGTTTAACCAACACACACTTTCACTGACAGATACACACTGACACACCCACTCACTGACAGGCACACACTCTCAGATACACATAAAATCACATACACACACTCACAGGAACACCCATTCTCACTGAAAGACACACACACTTTCACTCACTCACAGACACACACTGACAGCTACACTCACTCACAGTAAGGTGGACAGCCCCAGAACACAAGGCAAGCAAGGCATTTGTCTGGGAGCTTGGGGTGGGATTTTTGGCACCCACTAAAAGTGCCGCCAGAGGCAAATGCCTTGTTTGCCTTGTGGTAAATACATCCCTGTGCACGAGGGATCTGAGCAGGAGGATCAGAGATTTCTCGCCGCCTCCAATGTGATGCCTGCCTGTCTGCCCTCCTGCCTGCCTGCACCTGCATGCCTGCCAGCCGAGCTGCAGCCTCCAGTAAGCCTCTGGACCCCCAGTGAGAAATCCACTCGAGCACTCCCAAAAGTAAGTGTGTATGCATTTCTGTCAGTGAATGTGTATCTGTCAGTGTGTGTGTCTGCCAGTAAGTCTGCATGTGTGTCTTGTCAGGAAGTGTGTATGTGTGTCTGTCAGTGTGTATGTGTGTCTGTCGGTGAATGTGCATGTCTGTCAGTGAATGTAAATGTGTGTGTAACTGTGAGTGTAACTGTGAATGAGTGAGTATGTCTCTTAATGTGTATGTTTGAGTGAAAATGTGTGTTGGTTAAACAGTGTGTGTGACAATGACTGTGTATCTGTCAATGAGTGTATGTCAGTGCATGCATCAGTAAAGGTGAGGTCCAGGGCCGCCATCAGGGCATGACAACCATGACGGCTACCTGTTTATTGCAGAGGGGGCCTGCAGTAAACGCTCACTTCCCTTCCCAGCA